AGGACTTGTGTCGCTAAAGTTTCGTCGGAACGAATTTACGGAAAATTAACTAGCGAACGGAGACGTAACAATATTTTATTTGCGACTAACGACTTTTTGAAAGTGGTGCAACTTACCTAAATAAAGTTGATGTTTTTTTTTACATAAATATTTCGTGTTGCACCTACTATTAAATGATTGTTGTTTACAATTTAGTAACCTAAGTTCCAGATATAGAATTTTATGGCACGTGACAATGAATTATGTAAAGTTTCACCATACTTAACCTGATTAATTTTTTTGTCTTGAAAATTTAACATGTAAGTCTGAAAATTTCCTCAGCTCATTCGCTGTTAAGTTAAATGCATGGATGCAAATAAAAGCATAAATGTTTTAAGACACCGTGATATATCTATATATTTTTTCCCCTTTTATTCGCTTTTCTTGGGTTATTGATTACTACACTGATAAACCATTTGTCACAAGACGTTTCTCGGTGGATTATCAGTAAATTTACAGACATTCAACGCTAAAATCCGAAGCTCTAATTCCCCAGCAGTAAGTTTGGTTTGCATTTCGCGCGAATCTATACCAGGACTATTGGCGCTAGCCGTCCGAAATTTAGCAATGATCGACTAGAGAGAAGGCAGCTAGTCGACACCATTCTCCGCCAACTCTTGAGCTACTCTTTTACTAACGAATAGTGAGATTGATCGTTTGAAAGGGCGAGCATGTTCGGTGACGGGGATTCGAACTCGCGAACCGCAAATTGCGAGTCGAGCACTCTAACCATCAGGCCTCGCCAGACCCTCAGCAGTAAGTTTGAAGGCTTATAACACTAGAATTTAAGGTTCGATCCTCGCGGAGAAAATAAACAAACAAAGAATATTATAAAGCTTTACAATGAAAGGACTAAATCCAAGAAACGTGAGACAATGGATGTCATATATATGTCTTGCGCTAGTTTACTTACCACTACGAAAAACCCCAGCAATGCTGGTACATGCATATACAACTGAATATGTGTTGTAATCGGTATCCAAGACCCAGTATTTCCCGGTATTATAGGTAGAGTTACCTATTGAGAAAGATAAAAATAGAATCATTATTAAATTTTACACAGAATATTCCATCTTATTCCTATATGGTAAAAGATTACATTTGTTGAAACAAGAACGTCTAAGTCTGAATTTGAATAATGATATCGATGTAGGCTATGTTTTTTATTTTGCTTAGTTGCTTTTATTGTTTCTGGCGGGATAGAGCTTTCGACGTCACGTAACGCGCGCGTGGCAAATAATAACTGTAACTTTATTAAATAAAGTGTAGGAAACAATTTGAACGAAATATAAACGCGAGCTAGATCAGAGGTGTGAATAGATTAGTGAGTCTGTTTCTATGGTTGATTAATTACAGAATTAGCAAATTTGTTGGTCTTTTTGTCTATTACTTTCAGTTTCATGAATATCGAGCTTGTATTTCGACGAAGTACTGGGATGAGTTTTGTCCAATGGTTAACATGCCGAAACTGTGGATCCAATGTTCGCGTCTCGTTACTACACACAAAAATTGTGGGTGCGTTATAAAGATAATGGTCAAACAAATCATCAGTTCGATGAGATAAGATCAGTCCAGGTGTTGGTGGTGGGTCCTGTTGACTAGCTGCATTATCTCTAGTTTATCAGTCCAAAATGTTATATTGTGACTTTATTTTAGGCCTGTGTAAGGCGGTAATTAATTCTTTATGTTATTGTCATTAAGTGGGTAATGAGTCACAAAACAAATAATCAAAACATTTCAGAGGTGGGGCGCCAAAAGTGTCTTTGCCCGGGTGCTGAGAACTCTTGCTACACCACTGATATCAAATTAAAAATAGTCCACTTTTACTCTTGAATCAAGCTGTAGTAAAAATGTTAGACCGATAGCTCACGTGACGTTTTGCGTAGGCGTGCGCACAAATTTTCGTTAAATTTGAGCGGTTTTTGTTGAAGAACTTTGTACATATGGCTTATACTTACACCAAATAAAACTCCTAATTGTAGGTTGAAAAGATCTACCAGTGTATCAAATTTGAAATAAATCCATAAAAGTTAAGTATGTTTTTCAATCCGATAAATTTTCCGTTCTTTTGGTGCGAAGAAAAAATAGGAAGAAGCTCAATCAAAATTGGAAATGTTATATCTCAAGCATTTCTAAACGGATTACTTTCATTTTGCTATTTTTGGTTTGGTTGTGAAAAATATTCCTATATACATTTGGTGGTGTTGTTGTTGAGCGGATTCTAATGTATTTATCGCTAAAGCAAAAATAATGCAAAGTCAAGTCGTATCTCTAGTATCTAGTGCATTGTTGAAATATAAACTCAACATTCATGAAATTAGAGTAACAGGCAAACCCATTAACAAATAAGCTAAATCAATAATCAATCTAACACTGTAAGAGACTCATAAATCAATATTCTTTTTGATCTTTCCCTTGTTTTTTATTGATAAGGTTATAGGTAAGCTTTATAGTAATAAATGTAGAGCATAGTCTCAGAAAGAGATTTAACTGATATACGTATTTATGAGAAATAATGGACGAACGATACAGTTAAAAATATAATATACATATAAGACATATGTTTCGAATAATCTTCTTGTTAATCGGAAATGAAGCAGTTAAAACGAATAGAGTGATAGAAACAGCGAAGAAATAATAACAGCAAATTAAGAGAAATAATCGCGAATTTATTAACCAATGAGGAATTTCTACTTTCATATCAAATGTCTACATTTAAAAAGGTACTTTTTAAAATAATTTTCTCTAAAACTTTCCTCTAACATCTCAATAGAAGCCAAGTCAAAGTGGTAGAATTAATAGCTCTCTTATGAATCAGAAATAGAATATACGATGGTCAATAACATAATAAATAAATTTCAATTTAAACTCAAAATATTATTATCACATGTAACAGGAAGTGTGTGTTTTTAACAGATGAGCTCATTTTTTGTTTTCAAAAACATACAAAACTGAAAAAATACAAGCAAATATGAACAACATTCTAAAATGTTCGATGTCTTTAGAGTCTCCTAACCTAAGGAAGTTCATACTTTGAAGAAATTAGCATAAGATACCTGAGCTCCACTATGAGCTTCAAGGGAACTCATAATTCACAGGGGACCTAAATATACTAATCAAGCTCCTTCATTATCTCCACATACTCCTATGCTACCTCAAAAGGGATCAGCACCAGAAAAAAAAAAAAACTTTGGAACACCCGCCCGTGGTACCCGAATATGTGTGCCACATTTGATCCTGCTAGTTTGTGAGTTAATTAGGAATACAGTTTTAAACATTGCGCCCCAGGATTCCGACTTACACAAAATCCGATGTAAGATTCAGCGACTCTAAAAAAACCTACTTCTAGATTCCCATCATGCTTGTGTAACCTTCCGGGAACATTTTAAACTCCCTTTGTAAGGGGACTATATCATATAGGTAAGGGGACTCTCCCGGCCACCTCGAGTCCGCTTACCTGGTTTTGTCCTACTAATTCCAAAACTGTGTGAAGAATGTTCGAGAAACAAATTAACAAACAGGACGCTGAAGACGATTTTCTTTTATGTTATTGTTTTGAAATCCTTTGACTTCATGTATGAAATAAGTTACTGCTTTAATGTATCCTAAAAGCAACAAAAACTAAATAATGTCTTTACAATGGCTTTTCCTGGAATTATAACTGATAAAAAAAAGATAACATAAACATATGTATATACTTGTAGGGAACTCGACTTTTAGCTTAGCTGGAACTTCTGGATCCGGTGGATAGGCCTCTCCTTCTACTCCGATGATGATTTCGCCACTGTTCAATTTGTAAAATAACAAATGATGTTACTTCAATAATTATTATTTTTCTATGAAAGGATACAAAACTCATGAGGAATATAATCAGAAGTAATTAACATGTACATCAAAATCAAATCTGAAAATAAGAATCAATTTTTTAAGAGTTCAATCTCAAGCTACAGAAACATATCCGTAGTTTTAATTAGATAGAAAGGTTGTTTGTTTGTTCGTTTTTTGTTGTTGTTGTTTATGACAGAGCTTCTAAGGCTATCTGTAGCTGTCTCTAATTATGAACTGCTGACCAGAGGGAAGGCATCTATCCGGTAGCATCCATCGCCAATTGTTGCGCAACTCTTTTATCAACAAATAGTGGGATTGACCGTCACTTTATAAAACCCCTACATTTGAAAGGACAGGCATATATGGCGTCGTGTTTCGATCCCATTGCCTGCAGATTGCGAGACGATTACCCTAATTTGAAGGTAAACACCTTTATATAGTGTTGCTTCTTATCAAAAAACAAAATATTTAAATGCAAAATTGCAGATAAGGACTATTCATAACTCCATAGTCATGAATATTTAATTAAACTTTTCTAAACTTACCTTGATTTATATAAACATTGTTTAATAACAGCAATTTGAATAATATATCAGTTTTTATATTTATTAACTACTATTTCACAACTAGGTTTCCAATGTTCCAATGTATATATTTCAAGTAATCAGAAATACTGTTTTATCAATACCATCTCAACTTTAAGTAGATGAATTGTTGACCAACATTTTATTTTGTATTTATATATTATAGTCTTCCATGTATAATTTCATTTTCACATGATATGTTAGTTTTAAACTATAGGTTTAAGTATTGGAGCTATCAAATTATTATTTTTCTAAGCCCTTGTTTACATAGCCACCAGTTCAACATCCAGCCTGCCTGATATTGGGTGAAAGGCCTTATTACAGCGCCAAATAACAAATAAAGTGTTATCAAAATGTTAATATCCCTACTGGATTCTAGGCGAGGAAAGAAGGCTGTAACTTAACTTATTATTGTGATCTACAATTCACGTAATGTAAAGTCTTTGTTGAAGATCTCTTTATAATCGGTTGTTTATGAGACATCACCTTTTATAATTTATAACGTTTAATTCTGTGAAGCATAGTCCTTTATAGGTGGCAGTAAAAACAATGTTATTACCAGTGTTATAACGGTGTAATATCACATCTATTATCTGTAAACCGATCATTTTTCGCCAGCTTATTTATTATGAAACAAGCATTTACAAAAACACGATTGGTCTTTGGAAATACTTGAAAGAATTCAACAATACTGGAAAGTAAAACTGGTGATAAAACTTATAATTAACTGATTCGCCAGCTTAGTCATTATAAAACAAGCATTTACAAAAACACGATTGGTCTTTGGAAATACTTGAAAGAATTCAACAATACTGGAAAGTAAAACTGGTGATAAAACTGATTAAGATTTCTTCTTGCTTTGTAG